CCGTATAGTTTCACCCGTATAATATCTTAACATAAGCTTTTTTTAATTTACAAAAATACCTATTATACATATCTAAACTGATGCAAGAAATCGCACTACCTGTATCAATATCCATGTTAGTAATATTATTTTAAATTTTAATCGGTATAATTATAGGCATACACTGGTTTATTGTTAATTTATTTAATTCAATAAAAAATTACCTCATCTTTGTCCTCGTTCCATCGTTCTTTTTCTTTTTCTATTTCGTTCGCAACCACACAGTCCTGTTGCGATGTCGCTAATGCCGGAAACATGCGCTCCAAATGTCCTTGCCTGTTGCAAACGCGGCATACATATTGCGTGAATTTACATGCCACATCACTATGTGCACCTCTACACGCGTGACACTCCCGCTGTCGCTGAGCCTGCTCACCCGCCGCCGACGTTACCGTCGCGCGCGCGGCTGGCCGCTCGCCGTCATCTTGTACAGCCCGCGCGCGCGCATTATACTTTCTATACTTGCCGTGCGCCGTATTCGCCGTCTCGGCCCGAGTTGTTAAGTGCCTCTCTGCCGCCCTGGTTATGACCTGGCAATCAGCTGATATGGCTGTATCGGATGACCGGCCATGACCTTGTACTATCGCTGCATCTTTCTCGGTCGCCTCCATGCTAATTGCCATATTATATGCTTTTATGAAGTCAAGCCCCTTTTCTGCAAACAGATACTGGCAGATTACCTCATTATTTATTCCGTATACGAATTGATCTCGCAAGCTCTCTTCTAGCCAACTACCAAAATTGCACGTTTTTGACATTTTCTTTAGAACCGCCACGTATTCCGAAACTTTTTCGTCACTACGTTGTTTCCTATGCCTGAACTTTTATCGTTCTGCCAGTTAACTGGGCCGTGGTTGTAAGTGTTTTTCCATAATTTCCGTAATTTGTTGAAAACTTTTAGTGCTAGGTTTTTCTGGAGTACACAAATTAACAAAAAGTTCGTAACTTTCTGCACCCATAACGGTTATTAACGTCGGCACTCGAAGGTCATCAGCTATGTTATTAAAGGTACAATTTCGTAGCCGACCGCGGACAGCAACAGCAGGCGACGCGTCGCTGCAGTCATGATTCCGAACCCGACTACTTGGGCGTTGGTGACACTACTGATCTGCGGTCGGGCGACATGTCGTCTGCCGTTCTGGCAAACGACGTGTCGCTAGCTACGGAAGGTATTTCATAGAACTACATAGAAACCAGTAGTGTCGTAGTAGTGTCAGTCTGCGGTCGGCTACGGAATGGTACCTTAACTAAGAAATATTGTTCCAGACGGTCCACGAATAATATCCAGTCGTCCTTGTCAATGTCGAATTCCGATAACTTTCCGATTGACATCTTGTTTCTTTTCTTTTATGTATATAATTAAATGCACGTGAATTCTTATTCTCGTCGCCACTGTCGAATCTAGACGTATTGAGATAGGAAAGCAAACACTACGTACTTCTTAAGCCTTTTATGCGAGACTGCGGTGACTGTTGCAATTCACAATGACGAAATATTACAAATTATTATTCTACCTACATTACAGTACTGAAGTAAAAAACATTTTTTTTCTACTAAAGCAAGTGATAATATGAACAAACAGTACAAAATTCAACTATTTAAATAATGAAAATTAATGGAGTTAATTATTATGGTTTTTCACTGAGTTATTCAAAATGTTAAATTTTTTCTTACCGTAGTAATTTTCTGGAGTATTTGTTTATTTGTATTAATTGACCTCTCGAAAGCTTTTATTACTTTAAATTTTTATGACTGTTACTTAAGATAAGTAGATACAAACGTTGATTAACACAAGTAAATTTAACATAATAAACACGTTACTTTAAATGAATCGTAATTGTATCAATTTAATGAGGCCCAAATTGCATTGCCGTGTTACGCATATTGGTGAAAGGGTCACATTCATCATTGGCGCAGCACGTAGAACGCGACTGTCTATAGTGGTGCAAGTAACTTGCATCAGTGTAAATAGTCGCTTAGCTAAAATTGATGTCACTTTCGTTAGTGTACAAGTTTGTATCTCCAAGACTATTTGATATTTTACAATAAATTTTACAGGATGCAAAATTTACGTTACACACAAACGTGAGGAAAGTTGCATGTCTGACGAATACAAAAATAGTAGTAGTGTAGTTGTACCACTTCTAGACCACCTGAGTCAGACGTGGTTCAACGACGTTCGTCGACGCCCGATCCTAAAAAAAAAAAGTTTTGGCATGCTCTGATCACGAATCCGCGGTCCATTTTTGTGTAGAATGCACGGTTTCAGAGATGTGTAGATCAATTAGCTAATATCTAATTGATATCCGGTAAGGGCCTCCACCGTCATTAGCGTCCCATTGTTGTTCCTATTTCTATTGTTCTATTGTTCCTTAATCACCTTCATTGCAGCGTGTGCGTCGACTATATCAGTGCTATTGTTTATTATAATTCTTTGTTTATACAACGCTAATCTGAATCATCAATAAAACACATTACATAATTTTGTTACAATTTTTATTTATAAAATACAAAATCTTATTAATTATTATCTATAAAATAGGAGCGAAACATCTCATCCACTAAAATATCGTTGTACAATGTGTTCCTTGTAAATATACTCGTAAAACTATGTATTGAACATCCTTGAAACTTATATAGTAAATACATTAAGCAATATTCGCCACAAACTGAAGTCCACTCATTCTGAATCCTATCAACATTCCAGTTCCATCTTTTACAATTCCTTTTTAAAAACTCTAGATGATATCGTACAGGTGATCGTCCATATGAATCAAAATATTGACCGACGTCATTCGTATCGATATATAAAGCTACCCAATGTGACCCTGGTTTATCATCTGTATCCAAATTACATATTATATACGTTGGTACGTGGGTATACATAGGCAGTCTATTAGCTGCATAAACATTATTTTCTAGACTGGGGTGAATCTTTTTCAGATGTTGTTGTACATCTAGTGTATCCATGATATTACTGCTATTAGTAGATTATTACAGTACCTAGCTACTCAATGAATAACATAGGAATGGTCAATTATAGTGATTTCTACATATTAAATTGCATTTTTGTGATATACAAATCGTACTTGAGTCATTGATCACCAAACAAAACACAATACGAAGAAATGTTGAGATAGGCAACGTAAATGTGAGATAAACTGATATGTTTCTAAATATTAAATTCCATTTTTGTGTTATACAAATCGTACTTGAGTCATTGATCACCAAACAAAACACAATACGAAGAAATGTTGAGATAGGCAACGGAAATGTGAGATAAACTGGTTGACCCATAAAGTAATTATCAACTCATTACGGAAATACTTTAGATTAGAATTTTTACGTACTGGTGGTATATAAGACCAACAAACGCAGTCATCGAGTTAGTGTACGGTCGTTTGGCTACAGTGGATCTATCAATAGTACATTTGTGTTACTTCAATACACCAAAGGCTATGGATGTAAGTGTTTATTCTATTGACTAAATTACTTTTTTTCTGTTATTTCCATGTGTGTGTATTATTTTATTTAAATATTGTGTATGTATATGATTAAGCCGTGGTAACTCAGATGGTTAGCGCTAGCTGTAAATTTCACAGTACGCGACCCGGGTTCGATCCCCGCCAGCACCAATTAAATTGTTAATAGCAATTTTAAGTGCTTATTACCACGTGCTTGGTGGTGAAGGAAAACATCGTGAGGAAACCTGCATGTCTGAGAAAATTTCGAAGGCATGTGAAGTTCGCCAACACACATTGAGGGAGCGCGGCGGACATTTCCTTGCTCTAAAACCCTCTCAGAAATGAGAGGAGGCCTATGTTCAGCAGTGGATTTTAATAGGCTGTAACTTTAACTTTTTTAACTTTTATGATTAAGTGTTAACAAATTGATATTAACATGATAACTGTGTTGTTGCAGAAATCATTGAGCTTCGATGAAGATACCTATAAACAGTATTACTACTCGCCACTCTCCCCTCAAGAAGAGAGTGATAACCTCGTCATTAATAATAACACATGCGATGGTGGAAAAAGAAAATCGCAATCGATTGATCATTTTTTTGAAGCTGAATCAAAAATAAAAAAGAGGAAGCTGTTATCATCAACCGTAGCACGAGCCGCTAGAGATGGTGTATCATACATTTCTACTAATTCTGACGACGGAGACCAAGCGACGCATCTCATCAAAATTGAAATGTACGATATGAAGAAGCTATCCAAGATTCTAACTACTGATCATTGGAAACATGCTTCCACTAGAATTAAATATTACGTAAAGACTAATAAGGATAGCATCTACGACAACACAAACGCCCTCGTATACAATATAACAAAGACAATAGCAGAAAGTGAAAAAGTTAAAAAAATACTTTTTTAACAATGACAGTCATTAGCTGATCATTAGTGAATGTGATTCTGTTTACTTCAATTACAGGAAGACAAGAGCGGAAGGAAGAGATGAGTGTGGCATACGTGTACAAAACACATCATTGAATAACAAAACTACAACACTGGGTGGAGAAGAAAACGAGAAGAGTATGCAGTACTCAAGAGCTGAATATCCATTCTTCAGTTCAAAATCTAGCCGTTTGCTTAGTTTCGAAAACTGGCCTCTAGTTATGCGACAGAAACCTGAAGATCTTGCCGAAGCTGGTTTCTTTTATACTGGCTATGCAGACGGGACCAAGTGTTTCCATTGTGGTGGTGGTTTAAAAGATTGGGAAGATGATGATGATCCTTGGCAGCAGCATGTTCAGTGGTTTAGTCAGTGTGCTTATGTAAAATTTCAACTCTAACAGTGTTTTGTATTAGATTAAATAGAAGATTTATAAAGAAATAAAAAAAATATATTGCATACAATTTGTTTTATTTAATTTTATAACGTTTCACATAGTTACATACACACAAAATGCATTACACATAACACATAAAATCTAACACACAACACATATTATAACCTTAACTACTATAGTCTACAGTAACATTTCTGTTTTTATCTATCTCAATAATATTATCAAACTCAGCATAAACTATACAGTTAATTGTTTGTATTAATGAGGATTCAAATCGTACTTCTATTCTTACACTACCATGCTTTATGAGATTCCAATGAGTTGATGAGTTAGCTGATAAATCAGGAGTTAAGTCAAATGCTAATAGACAGTAACCTTTGCCATACTGTTCACAAGAGATTCCATTTCCTTCATTAAGAAAGTGAATACCAGTTCCCGAGAATAGAGTATGATATGCTGATGTAAATATGCTATTATTAAAAGATGGTTGCAAAGCTTTTGAAGGTATTTGTTGACCATCAATATATAAGCTGAAAGAATTAATACCATAGTTTTCAAAGTTAAATGGATTTTTAGTAAGGGAACCATTAAATGCAGAATTGTTCACAAATCCAATTATACATCTTTTCGGTACCTGTCCTAAAAATATATTATCAAGAGTTTTTCCTTGAACACCTGAAGGAATTGTTAAAACTTTTACTTCAGCTCGAGTAATAGGATATTTAGCAGTGGTAGAAGCTAAAACTTTTTGATGTGCGAGTAATACACTTGGATTAATTCGTGCTCGTCGCACAATAAGAGTTGCGTCCGTAATGCAAACTTTAAACTTTACATCGTTCGACCCAACAATTAAATTAAAACTCTCTCTTGATCGAACCAATTTAACACTCATTTCAACACCATTAATTAAAAATTTATCTTGGTTAAAAATGTCACCGTGAAGATGACCAATCATTTCTATTTCCTTACTTTCACTAATCAATTCCTGTCTTTTAACAAATCCTATGTTTTTACCATCTGTAGAATCCATTTTTCCTGCTGTATCCTCATACCAAAGACTACAAGTAAGATGAGATTGTTTAGCAGCAGGGGCATAGTTTAAAAGGGTTTCCATGTATGCTCGATATGCATAGGTATTATTAGGTGGTGATACTAGTTTTTGGTTTAAATAAACATCAAGTTGACTAAAAAGTGAATGCAGCCAATTATTTACAGGTGCTACTATTGTAGTAGATACCAAGTTAGTTGAATCTTGATTTAATACTTTTGCCTTTATGTGGAGTAATGTATGAGACAAATCTTTGTAGTCATCGCCGGTCCCAGGAACTTGAAACTCGATAGGTCCATCATCACCAAGAGATGAAATTGGTTTATAATGAATCCACAATCCATTTTCAATGCTAGTTTGTGTAGACGGTAGTGCAAACAAATCCAATTCTGACTTAACGCACTCGCAAGAATGATTATGAAGGAAAGACATATTTAGTTTGAAAATATATCTTTGATATTTTTTGGTTTTAGACTAAGTTTTTTCGCAGCTTTCACTTTAGCAGTTAATGGTGGAATGAACGAAGTCAATCGTTTTCTTTTAGTTTTATACCCAGATCCAGTCATGTTAAATTGATCAATTTTCTCATCAGCCTTTCGTTTTAAATTCGTACTAACTTGCTTTAGACGATCTTTTATTGAGGCTTCCATAGGACGGGCTTGAACCATATCCGATAAAAGTCCTACTCCAGCGCTTAATGCCTCCTTACCAATCACTCGAGCACCACTTGAAAGTAAAGGTAAAACTGATCTGAATAACCCCCCTAAGAAGCTCCCAATACCATGACCGCGTTGATATGGTGAACCCTTATAAATTACTCCAACTCCTGATCCAGCTTGATGTGTATAATAATTTTCATATGGACATTTATGATGATCACGAAGAGAATTCATTATTATAATTTTCGGAAATGTAGTTTAATACACACGGTTCCAAACTGGAATGGTATTTTTTGTCCTGTACTCGATCTTATAACTATTTCCAACGTATCGAACTCTCTTCGCATAACAGGTAAGTAGTGAGGTTGAGAGAAAACGTGCATTTTATTTGCACCATAAATGTATTTTGTAGGATCTAATGAAATGACTCTTAATAAAGGAGTCATAACATCACCCACAATCTGAGGATCGATAATATCGCAATATAGAAATAGTTGAGATGGTAACCCTAAGTGTAAATTAGCAGGACACTTTCCAAAATTTCTCTCTAGGAGATTTTTATTTGGTTCATAACCTAGCTGTAAACTTAATTTGGGTGATAATGTTACGGATGTTATATTTTTATCCAATACCGAAATAGACACAAATTTTGTTATTTCATCATAGCGAAATTTCAAGTTCTCTCCGATACCATTTAACACTCTTAAAATATGCTCAACGTTATCATAGTTGGTAGCTGGAATATGTTTTTTGTAGTACACTGTGGATGGCTTATCTTCATTAGGCATTAACATAGATTTTGTAATGTATATAACATTTTCATGGTCTTGAACAGTAAACATGGTACATGGATATTGAAACTCGACAACTCCAACCGACCATTCACCTTCTAATTTTATAGCTTTTGGTAATTTCGTTGAAAAATTTGTGGTCTTGTTATCAGGAAAGTATTCCATTGAACTATTGCTGAGCAAAGTTAAATAGAAACTTTCTTTATTCATATTTCTTTTAAACTAGAAGCTAAAATCCAACTGTTAAATTTATCTGGATAACCTTTCCACTTCACTAATACTTCTTTTCTGTTACCCGAATAACGAGTGTCAATTATTTTATCTATTTTATGTTGTGAGGTGGGGTTGTAAGTGATTTTCTGTAATTCTCTTTCATAAAAAGTACCAATTATTGGTTCATTTTGTAAATCTGTTATTGTATAAACAACCCATGGAGATCTATCAATTATTGAAGATATAATAAATATTTCATCACTCCAATTTGATTCATATCCTTTTTGGAATACATGTTTATATTTAGTTATTCGAACATAATCACCCACATTGAAATTTGGTTTAGCATTTTCTAAAGAAAGTTTTTTTGACCGTCTGTCATAAAGATTAGTCCAAACTGTCATAATATTGTTGGAATTTACATCACATGGGCACATCTTAATACTAGAGTGAAAGCTGTGATTATAAGAGTATATTAAATCTTGTAAAACATCTATATATCTATAAGTATTATTATGAGTGAAATAACGCCACATTTTCATTTTTAGTGTTCTTTGAAATCGTTCAACAATACTGGCCTTAATGTCAGGATTGTTAGTGGTATAGTAATTAATCTTTTTGGATTTAAAGTATTTTTGTACATCTTTTGAAACAAATTCGGTACCTTTATCGGATTGTATGTGAGTAGGTGTTAAATTACTTTCAGTAAATATACTTTCAAAACATTCTTTAGTTGTTTCTGAGTTTTTCTTTTTCATTGGTCTTGCAAAAGCATATTTACTAAATACATCAATAATACAAAGTATATACTTGAAACCATCATTATATTGAGAATAAGTTCGCATATTACTTAAATCAGCTTGCCACAGTTCATTAATATTTGATAGAATGTACCTATTACGCGGGAATTTTTTTCGAATGGGTTTATGTAATGTGTATGTTTCTTGTGATTTTAACCATTCCTTTACTTGCTTTTTATTCATTTTACCCTTCATGGCTTTTGATAATTTATCAATACTACCAAAACCAGCGGGATTAGATGGATCATAATAAATCCTGTTAATTTCTTCTAGTACGGAGTCCATTTTTCCCACTCAAGTCCTTTACGTATTTTAGTTGTAGACTTTTTATCTCTACTGCACGGTGTAGAAAACTCTTGAACTTCAATCTCAGAGGGTTTGTTCAGATCTTTTGCTTGAAGTTGGTTAATAAACTCACATCTCCTTGGATTTCCAATATAAGTAAGTGGTACTTTAATATCTTTTAATGCTTCAGCAAATCTAACCCACCCTACCGGATCACTTCTTTTTAGGGGTCTTAGTGAATCATTTATTAAATCAACAATATTACTTCCAGGAATTTTTTCACTATCAATTATGACTGTACCTTCGTTATCCCAATGTATTTTACTTTTACTTGTTTCAACTAAGTTTAATAATAACTGCCCTTTTTTATGATAAGTTTTTGGTATTAAACTGAGTATTTGAGCTGGTGTGTAAAGTGGATTTTCATCATTTTCTTTACTTTTAATGGATCGATTCTCCTCCAGCAAAGATTCAATATCAACTGAAGTTTTTAGATCTCTATCTTTATTTTTAAAACCAATTTTTGACTCATTTGAATCTTCATTAGATGTATCAGAATAAATTGGTAATTTGAGTGGTTGACGATCCTCTTCGGTAAAATGAAGGTATCTTTGCAGTGTTTGTAAATATAATATCCATTTCTTTCGGTCTTCCGTCTTACTATTCATAATATTTTGCATTTCAATATCTAATCGAGATAAATTACTATTAACCTTATTTTCTTGTTTTAATTTTTCAATCAATCCAGGTTCGATAAGTATCATTTTCTTTGCATTTTCCATGTTAACTGGCTAGTCCACTCACTAATCCACTCAATATTGCACCTAATATTGTTGGTAAGAAAGCCCCTCCTTTTTGTATAATTATATTTTTTCTTAGTTTATGTTTACACTTACGTACTAGTTTACGGAGTATGTTTTTATGTTTATTCAATTTTTGTTTATCCTGATCTTTAAGAGGTACTTTTCCTTGTAAAACGTTATGAATACACTCACAAATACAGTTAATTTCTTCTTCATCACACGTTTTAAGTAATGCTCTTTGATATTTTGGTTTAAGCGTATGCAAAGCGGTTAGCAAATGTTTATACGTTGTGAGTCGACGATGCATCATTTAGCAATGATTTCAATTGTTTGATTCTTGGTGTATTTAAACTCTTTTGTGGGGACGTAGACTGTACAGAAACCATTAAATGGAAAGACATTTGTCTTGATACGACAAAAATCATTGGTATTCTGTTTTAAATCTACCATTAAATATCCATGTGCCTCTAGATTTGCATCCCTGTAGGCATTTTCAATGAATTTTGGGTTATCTGGTGATACTTGTCTTGCTAAATATCTTATTTGAGTTTTATCTCGAGGGTTTTTAAAATATATTATATAACTTGAGTTTAAAGATATGTCTCTTTGTCCTTTACCCTGATGAAATAAATTTTGTGTTAGATAAAATACACTAAGATTCCTGTGATGACTACCTTTTGTAAATATATCCACAATTCTTCCATCGGACTCTCTCATTAGATCATCAATAATAACAAGATGTGGGTTTTCACCATCAAACATATTAAGATTTGGAATTCCTTGATGATAGTTAACATTTGGTAAATTATATAATGGTTGCATTTCATCAAAGCACCATGTGATCTGATTAAAATCACAATTACATATTTCTGTAACTGATTTTATGAAATTTGTTACAAAATTTGACTTCCCACACCCACTTGGTCCTGCCACAATAGCAGTGAACGGATGGATAAAGTGAAACATAACACACGTCTAAAGTTCAAAGGGGTGAAATAAAAAATGAAAGTGTTGGTGTAAACAATTAATATATATTCCAAAAATTATATAAAACAGAATTATCTATATACTATTTCTAACACAATTAGTACATCATAATTTTACAATTAACTCAACCTCAAATAAATAGAAACAACAATTAGTACATCATAATTTTACAATTAACTCAACCTCAAATAAATAGAAACAACAATTAGTACATCATAATTTTACAATTAACTCAACCTCAAATAAATAGAAACAACAATTAACTTAAATTATTTACAATAAAACAATGTTTAAATATGTAATAAACTACGTCATATTATAGTATTATCATAATTTTACAATCAATATAAATTTTTCTTAAACGCAGACATAAAAGTAAAAACTATCAACACTTAACGCAGTTTATAATGACCCCAAGCTAATGTTTCAATATTATTATCTAAAATATGTCTCTTTGTGTCATTATATGATAAACCTATCTTATTTAATTTTTGTGTGAAAATTGTGTGTTTAATTGATTTAAATCTAAGCATACTATAATATTGCACTTTTTTATTAAATAGAGAAGACTTATAACTATTCATTGTCATCTTTTTAGTGATACATTTATTTACCCCTTTTGCCTTGGCTATAGTCTTATTCTCTAAGTTAAAAGCGTACATTTTGGATCGTAAACCCACAAATTCTTTCATGATTTTACCATTATTTTCATCTTTAAAAAAACCTAATTTCTTTTTATTTAATTTTGGATATTCAAAAATATTATTTGTATCATAATCTGAGGTATCAAAGTATGATGAAAGGTCAGGTTTTATATCAGTGTAAAAATCATTTGTAAATATATGATATATTAAACTATCCGAATCTGTATACAATAATTTGATTTTACTAAAC